CCCTTCTCCGTTGTAACTTTTCAAAACTCCCCTTTTTTGATTATTTTACATATAAATCTGACCCTTTTCTTTCATTCATTTTTCTTCACGGGTGGGCCTATGGCAGGCAACCTATGACTCCCAAATTGGCCCGGACCTCCGGGATTTTGTGGGATAAGCTCCATAAACTGACAAAAGTCATCATATATGCTCCTTTTATAGCCCAAAGTAATATATGCAAATACATTAAAATAGTAAAAGGTATCAATTGGCGTGCCCGCATTACCCGGATTTGATTATAGTAGCCCCGAAAAAATGATTAAAATCATTTTCGTGGGAAAAGTGTAAGCCTGATTAAAGCATATGCAGGCGCCGCCAGTGAGCTCCAGACTAATGTGCAATTGTGTAAGGGACCTGTGACCGATAACACCCATCATTTAAACGCAAAATCCACCATAAAAATTACTTTAGGGGAAAACCGCCGGCTCTGTCCCAATTTCGTTAACAAACTGATATGGCAAATGGAAAGTGGATTAAAGGCATATGCAGGACTCAGTGAGATCCAGACTATGTGGCATCTGTGTCGGGGCCTGGTAATGATGGCCATCATTTAAACGCAAAGGCCACCATTAAATAATCCTTTTAAGGGGGAAAACAGTGCTGCGTCAATTCGTATACAAACTGATAGGCCAAATGGACAAAAAGTGTGATTACAAGCATATGCAGGACCCCAGCTGAGCTCCAGACTCATGTGCATTGTGTCGGGAGCCTGGTTAATGATGGCCCCATCATTTAAACGCAAAGCCACCATTAAAATCACTTTTAGGGGGAAAACGCCGGCTCTGTCCAATTCCGTTAACAAACTGATAGGCAAATGGACAAGCGGGGGGAAAAACGGCCCGAGTGCTGCTCCAGGCTGTGTGCATTCTGTGTTAGGGAACCCTATGAAGGGTGTCATGAGTGTATACATAGTTTAAAATAGTAGCGATACCTCACAGGGCGCATAACATTTTACAAGCCCAGGGAAGGTGCAATGGACCCTGGTAATCATTGATTAAGTGTTTTTAAATGTGGGTGGACAGTA